TATTCAAAGTGTCTTATGTGATTCAGCAAGATCTCTAAAAAAATGCATCTTCATCCTGCGGAATGCTAGCCAGGAAATACTATAGTAACTTGTAGAGAATGATACTTTGAAAAGTTACAATAGTGTGTTTCAATTACATCAATATCATATTGAAATAAAGTTCTTATAGGTTCTTTAATTATTTTTTGGTTTCTAGTTTCATTTTGTTTTAGATTTCAATTTAGAAAGCAGTCAGATTTCTATGTTTATAAATGCTTCTATTTTTCCCTTCTCCTATTAATGTTCCCAGGATAAGGTTGTGCTTGATGATGTATAAAACACACCCATCCTTTATGCTTCTATTGCTATATTCTCCTATTAATATGCATAAGACTCTTACAAGTTTTTGGTTACTCTTTAAAAGCGTAGTTTCCAATGTGATTTTGATACTTTAAATTTTAGAATGTATGCCTTAGGTTTTTAGCTATATGTTAGCAAAACTACAGGTTTGGATATGAATATTAATATTCAACTTGGTTACGGATGATGCTAGAATGGTAATTTTATTAAGTAATCCTATTGTAATCATGTTTTCAGTGTAGTGTTGTTTTGCTTGATTATGTTATTTGCAAGACAGCAAAGGGTATTGCAACACCCATAATCGATGAGCCAAATAAAAAATTATAATATAGAGTCAGTTGAGTTTGAAAAGTTAAAATTGGAGACCTTACCCTCCAATATTTCCAATTTAGCGCACTTGGATGGTATTGTTACTTTCTTAAAGCTGTTGACCAATGTTTATGAGGCCATCCACACCATTTTTTTTAGTAAACATATTTAATCCTCTTTCCAAATCTATATATCCAATTCTTAAATTTAACTTCAAGTAAGAATAAAAAAATATTGTTGGTCACTAGATTTGACACAAGGAATTGAGGCAACTATATTTTACCGCAATTATGAAAATGAAGAGAAAAAAGAAAATCTCAAAAGAAATTATATGGAGACAGGAGGCTAAAGAAAGGGAAGGGGATAGAGGAATTGCAGCTCCTTTACATCATAACTAGTTTTCTTTTTGGTTCGAAGTTTTTCACTTGGCTACACATACATGATTCTTGTACTGCTGTTGCAAATGATACTAAAAATGTCTAAATCTGTTAAATTTTATGAATTTAAGTAACCCTATATATTGTTATATGTCAAGGGAATCCCTGAAGCAACAAAGTTTGCCATACCAATTGCTTATTTTCTAGGCAGTTACTAACAATATGTGATATATGTGGCCAACCCTTAAAAGATAAATATTAATTCATGCATTATGTATCCTTGGCACTTTTTTTAAATATAATTTTGGATGATATTATCTTTAGCACTTTTGTCAAGCTTAATGAATATAGTAATGTAATTCCTATGAAACACAAGTAAGTACTTATAATAATGTTTTAAGTTGTTAGTGGTAGTTTCATTTTCTTCAAGGTATGGCATATATGGGACAAAAAAGCTAAGACCTTATACCAAATTTTGGGAATGAAGAGTATCCACTTGTGGTATGTGTGTTCAATTTGCTCATATAAGAAATGGAGACGTTGCCATCAAGAACTTGATCCCCTTGATCCCCTTGCTCTGGTCTTCTTTTGTACACTTCTATTCTTTTGAGGAATTTTTTTAATATACAAAAATTCTATTTATATTATTTATTTGTCATTCCAATTCTTTTGTTATGACCTGAATAAATAAAAGTTAGATATAAATTATCATATATTTAAATAAACCAAATATCTCTTTTTTATTTTATAACTATTGAATTTTTTTTTTACATTTTTTATTTGTTTAGGGGTATTTTTCTGGGTTGTCAATCCTCTAATTCAAAAAAGCACCCCTATTTTTTTAAATACTTTTTACATGACTTATAGATAAAACTGATATAGAAACTTTATGATCTTTTTCTATTCCGTAAAACTACGTCACTTTTTGAATTAATATAAACAGTATTTTTTATCACTGTAAAAAAATCTTTTTTATTATATTGTATAGTATATATTTTGTGGTTGACTATAATAACGAAAAGAAACGGTGAAGTGTCACGAAAGTGGAAGCCGTTCTCTGGAATAGAGCGTTATGGTTTATTTGAATTTTGAATACCACATATCTTAGTGCCGGCTAATTCATTTCTGTGGATGCATCATTATTGAATTTATACATGGCATGTGTATACTCCCTTTATTAAAAAATATAAAATATTTTTAATTAAATCTCATCATTTAATAAAGTAGTTACTCACTTTTCAACTAATCCTATCTTTCTATATTTATTCTTATTAAACATCCTACAATAAATATAAAGTCATTATTAATAGGGACACTTTTAAAAAAAAGTAATGATTATGCCTCAAAAATTAAAAATACCTTATATTTTTTAATATTCAATTCTTCAAAAAATGTATTATATTTTTTAACAAAGGGAGTAATACATTTTTTAAAAAGTTGGATGTCAAAACATACAGGACATTTTGAATCTTTTAAAGTGTAATTATTATATTTTTTTTTAAAGTTCTCATATTGATGAATGATTTTATATTTATTATAGAGTGTTTAATAAGAATAAATATAAAAAGATAAAATTAATTTTAAAATAAATAATTATTTTATTAAAAAATAAAATTTAATTAAAAATATTTTATATTTTTAAATGGAGTAACTATAAATAAAGCATGAGCAAAACGTGGATCGTTATACTAGAAACGGATGAGGCGTTAAAGATTTTTTATTTTTTATTTCTTGCTAACTTAACAAACTAACTTCGGGGCATTGTTTGAACTTAGGATTCACAGGTTGGAATTGAAGCAGTTATAAATCAGGAGGCGAGGAGGTCAAGAGATTGGGTAAGTTTTGTTACTTGGGATCCACCGTGGCTCATTTCCAGTTTAGGAATAATGATGATTTGACGGCACATCCTGAGATATATGTGAAAGTGACAGGTTGAGTGCGCGGAAAGTGAAACGATCTCGAGATTTCTTGGCTTTCACCGCAAAAAGTTTAACTTTATTTTTAGGACCACGTTAATTTTCTGCTTCTCCCGTTTGCTAGCTCCGTCCTCCTTTTCGTTGCTCAATCCTTTAATTTTCTTTTTTTCTTTTTGTTTTTTTTTTGTGCTTGCCTCCTTATCATCGCACCTGTGAAAAACCAAACAAACAATTGAATTAGTTAAGATTTAGATGATGCTGCTTCATGATGTAAGAGGTGAAGTCATGATTGATGCAATGGCTTGTATCATTTTTCTGCCAAAGATAGATATCATGGTAATTTGGAGCAGAGAACAGTAGCCAAATGAGGTTGTGACAAATATAAGCAGAAGTAACAGGACACAGGGTATCAATATAGGTAAGGATAATCTAATCAATGGCACAAGTTTTCACTAAGCTGCATATGTATAAGAAAGCAAAAAAAAAAAAGAAACTAAAATTCTGTGTGCAAAGTAATATAAAAGATAAATAGTGTGACAAAGCTTTTAGTGTTTATGTCCATTATCTGTCTTTTCTTTAGCTAAATCCTATTTATAATGCACCTTCGATGTTGTTATGTACAAGGAGCCCAAATGCTTGTGCCAAAATATCCACTCCCACTTGGTATGGGCTCGTGAAATTTGGAACACATCAAGTAATGGTTCTATATTTTTATTTTATAATGATCTTCTTAAGTTATTTTAAGTCTTATAGGTCATATTATTTTCATGACTCAACACTTATTTAATTAAGGAGGTTTCTTTTAAGTAGATCGAGTTGTACTTCATTTGATGACTTATTATGTCTCACCATTTATTTGGCTAGGCCTAACACCTTGCTTCTTGTTATTCTGGGCTTTAACGAAATGTCACCTCATTTTGGGCTGCAACACCTATAATATGCATCACTGAATAATAGGAAATCGGTACTCAATCATATTAAGTATCGCAGAGAATAAATACAAAATAAAATTGAGGTGAACATGTATAATTATATTATTACTTGAAGGTATATGATAACTGAGGCAACAATTCTTTGAAGGAGTAGATGCAGATACAGTAATCTAATGGAGTGAAATAATAGAGAATATATAACTGGGTGGTACGTATTTGCATTGGGAAGATTTAATAATGATATAAATGGGATATTTATACACGCACATACATATAAATGGACAACACAGAAGCAAGTGAATAAAAAAGAGGGAAAGAGGGGAGGAGGGATAAAATAGCGCAGTAAAAAGTGAAAAGAGAAGAGAACACAAACACTGGCTCCCACGGGAAATAATTGCCCCCCACAATGCATGCTCATGCCTCATCATTCTGCTTCCTCCCCTCTCTCATCATCATGTCCCCTCCATCATCTCCATCATCTCTCTTCTCCTTCCTCATTTCATTTTCATTCGCATCTGTGGACAGATTACTGCTCAGCTCAACCCCACGAAGGCTTTATGATCCCAAGTCCCAAGTTTTTGGGGTCCTTCCACTAACTCAGTTGGATACTGCCAATTATGAATTATCTCTCTATCTATATATGCGCTCCTGCGTGCACTCTCCTCTCTTCGTTGCTAAAAGGAAATTACAACTCCGTAAATTTTTTTAAATTTTGTCTGTAAATTAAAAATGTGGACAGTATTTTTATTCCCCATATTTTCTGTGGTTTTTAATTTTGTGTCCTGCTCTGTTTCTATAGATCCGCCACTTCTAGGAGCCACGCCCTAATTGTGCTCTTTCAGGAAAATTCAAACTTAAATTTGGTAATTGTTCTTCTTAGTCCAAAATTAGAAGAAAAATAAACTTCATCCATCAAACGGTCACTCACTCAAGCCTGTGTTTTCTTTTCGAGATTTCTTTTAACACTTTTAGTATTTTATTAAAAGCTTGAGCTAGATTAAAGCGTTGTTATTACTATTACTATTAATAAATATAAAACAAAATGGAGACGCTAGTTTGGGGGGAAAGAGTGGACGATGCATAGTAAATAGTAGGAAAGGTCGAGTTGAGACATTGAAGTTTGACCGCACCATGGAAAAGAGCCCCATATGGAAACGACACGCGTCGGGAGGAACATCGATCTCGTTTCAATTATCGGGCCTCACTGATACAATTCAACAATGTCGTGGACGTGAATGCTCCGACTCTGAGATTTATAAACCCAAACACGTCGAACGCTAGCTTTCATTTGGGCATGCATGCTTTCCGTCTCCTCTGCAAGTTTTTCAACCCAGCTTGGATCACACCAATTCTACGGGATCTTCCGCTGAATTTCTCTTCCGCAACGTTCATCCTTTGCTTTCCCCCTATTTCTTAATTCAGGTTTTGCTTTCCAATTATGTTTTGCCCTTCTGAAACCCAAATCTCAACGTCTGCTTTCAATATCATTTCCTTGCATTATGTTGCTGCATCACAGTCCTGAAAAAGATTATTAAATGCAAATGCGAAGTTTGATTTAGATTAATTAAAGTGTAGTATATGGGGTTGGTTGATCTGTGCCTGGGGCATATGCAGTGAAGTTGAATAATTTGTTTGATTGATTACATATGCCGAAACCTGCTTATTCACGGAAATCTATTGTTACTTAACCTTTAAGAGGGTTGGAATCAGAATAATTATTCCTTATTTTAGCATTTGTCTTAATTGCACGTGATGATTTCTTTCTTTCTTTTTCCGGTTAAAAACTTGATGAAAGGTATTAATAAAGTATATATTCTTCAAGATTCTTGCCACAGTTATATTTTGGTGGGCGTTGCCATTTGCATGGGTTTTGCTGTTTGGCAAGAGCCAATCAACTGTTGTTTCTTCCTCTCAAGTAAATCTTTTTTATTTTCAATTTTTTAATGCGTAGGAGTGTTTGGGATTGCTGCCCATTGAATACAATTAAGAAAGATACAATAGCACAAGGTTACTAAGCTGTGCATTCCAGAATGCACCTAGAGATATTGGGTTGGATGTTACAAGTTTCTAATTTTCTATTGTCAAACTTATCACACGTATACACAGCTATAGGGTCCCTGGAAATGGAATAATTCATGCTCATAACAGGCTAATCCGGTTTCGACTGTCCAACCATTTTAGATATTATATTTCCTGATGTCGTTGGCCACAATTTTCTGATTGAAATTATATAATTGGTCCATCAGGAGATATTAAATGGCGGACGCTGAGGATATTCAGCCACTCGTCTGTGATAATGGGACGGGAATGGTTAAGGTACAATACTGACATAGTTTAATTTCTGAATTTCGCTATTAGTTACTATATCAGTGCAATATGTTATTCTATTTCAACTAACTTCTGCACAAATAATGTTAATGATCTGATTCGATTTCTACTGACGAACTGTAACTGTCACTCTATTGCATGTTGCAACCGTTAGGCTGGATTCGCTGGAGATGATGCTCCAAGGGCCGTGTTCCCTAGCATTGTTGGTCGTCCACGTCACACAGGTGTAATGGTTGGCATGGGCCAAAAAGATGCATATGTTGGAGACGAAGCTCAGTCCAAGCGTGGTATATTAACTCTGAAATATCCCATCGAGCATGGTATTGTGAGTAACTGGGATGACATGGAGAAGATCTGGCACCACACCTTCTACAACGAACTCCGTGTTGCCCCAGAGGAGCACCCAGTTTTACTCACTGAAGCACCCCTCAACCCTAAGGCTAACCGTGAGAAAATGACACAAATCATGTTCGAGACCTTCAACACCCCTGCCATGTATGTTGCCATCCAGGCCGTTCTGTCCTTGTATGCCAGTGGCCGTACAACTGGTTAGTTTTTTTTTTTTTTTTCCAGGAGCAAGTATGCTACATTTTAATAATGTTGAACTGCGCCTGACAGTGCTTCTTAGGCTTTAATTTTCTTATGGAATACTCGTTCTTAGCCAACTCTAGCAATGCTTGCAACAGTGCAAGGTGAAAAGGTAAAAGGGTATTTTAAGGCTTGAGATCGATCTGACATCGGCTAGTCTTACTTCTTTATGACAAATTTTATGCTTTGATTGAAAATTTCATAATATTTAACATTCAGTCAAGTCTTTGAATGATCTAACACGGCCCGTTTTCCTTTTGATTGACTTGTGAAGGTATTGTTCTGGACTCTGGAGATGGTGTCAGCCACACTGTCCCGATATATGAAGGGTATGCCCTACCACATGCCATTCTGCGTCTTGACCTGGCAGGGCGTGACCTCACTGATGCCTTAATGAAGATTCTCACCGAGCGTGGTTATTCCTTCACCACCACAGCTGAGCGTGAAATTGTGAGGGATGTGAAGGAAAAGCTGGCTTATATTGCCCTCGACTATGAACAAGAGCTTGAAACTGCAAAGACAAGCTCTGCTGTTGAGAAGAGCTATGAGTTACCTGACGGACAAGTCATCACCATTGGGGCCGAGCGTTTCCGATGTCCCGAAGTGCTCTTCCAACCATCCATGATTGGAATGGAAGCTGCGGGCATTCATGAGACCACATACAATTCAATTATGAAATGCGATGTTGATATCAGGAAAGACTTGTACGGAAACATCGTCCTTAGTGGAGGATCTACCATGTTCCCGGGAATTGCTGACAGAATGAGCAAGGAAATCACTGCTTTGGCCCCAAGCAGCATGAAGATCAAGGTGGTTGCTCCACCAGAGAGAAAGTACAGTGTCTGGATTGGTGGCTCCATCTTGGCTTCTCTCAGCACTTTCCAACAGGTGCGTGTTCTTCTACTTATGTCCTTAACTGTAGTATGTTATAATGCATTTTGCACTTGATGGCAATTGCTTGCCGGAGAGATTCAGAATGGTATTATTTTCTGGTCGGCGAGTATCCTTGCTCGAAGCTCCCATCACAAGGATTGTGGCTCAATTTCAAAAGGCTCTAGGAATTATAATGGTCCTGAGGCATTGAAGCACAACCTCGATGTAGGATGATAATGATTGGGAACTTGTGTTTGAAATGTAGATGTGGATTGCAAAGGCAGAGTACGATGAGTCTGGACCTTCAATCGTGCACAGGAAATGCTTTTAAGTGGAGCTGGCCTACTACTAGCTTGGTGGAAATATGGCCTTCATTTTTGGCAATTGATGCAAGTGCGCCTTTCAAGGATTGGCAGTTTCTCTTCAATTTTCTTCTTTTTACCGTGTTTATTCAAGGGAAAGTGGAGTTTGTTTGAGGGCGGAGTAAATTCTTTCCTTCTTGTTTTTTTTTCTCCTTTTTTTCACCATTGCAATTTATTGAACAGTTGAAGTTGATATTCAATACTGAGTCGATGCCAGCCTTTCCCCCCGGGCGGGGGATTCTTTTTGTTGCCTTTGTTTTTCCCGGTTACTCATTGAATTTAACACTTGGCGGCGACCAAGTCCAGGATATCAACAGTAGTTACAATCACTATCGATCTCATCATCTCGATAACATGCGCTTCACTCCTTCTTCAACAACTTTGGAATTTTTATTATGTTAGTGTTAGGGTGAAGTGAATGTTTTGTCCTTTTCAATTTTATTTTTTATTTAATTTCATTCAAATTTTATTTTCCTCATTTGTTTTTCAGTTTGTTCAATGTTTTATGGAAATTAATGAAAAATAAAAAATATATTTTAAAAATGGAATACAAAGTAAAATTAAAATTAAGAGAAAATCATATAATTTAAAATAACATTGAAAATAAATATGATTTAAAACCAAAAAATAACTATAGAATGATAAAAACATTCTTGCCACGTCTTATACAAGTTGGTGGTACAATTAGAAATATTTTTTTAATTTTCTTTATAAATCATTTTTATTAATCTTATCAATTTCAATATAAAAAATTTATAAAAAATAAAAGTGTGTAAGATTATAAATATATTCCTATAAAATAAATTTAAAAAATAATGTCATATTATTTTTTTCATAAAGAATAATTTTAAAAATATATTTTAAATATTACTTGAAAAGTTACACTATAATTTATAAATAAAATTAAATAAATTTTTTAAAATATAACTTATAAATAAAATTAGAGGAGGTAGAAATTAGTGAGGAAGGGTGGCAAAAGTACCTTATTACCCTCGACTTTGGTTTCGGGAGGATTGTGTGCGGGCCAGGCCCATCGTGCATATTATTATAAAAATTGGGCCATATGCTCTCAGTCAAGATAGTTGGGCTACGATTTTCACGGCTTTGACGGCAGCTCCAATTTTCAAACTCAATCACTTGTTCCGCGGGGTGATGGGACGCGTTAGGGGTGGGCTATTGTAAAAAAGGAAATGCTCGAGAAGGACCTTTGTAAGGAAAAACCAAATAAACTACACATGTTTACATATAAATATATTTTTATCACAATTAATAATTAATAATATTAATGTAATTATTTGAGTAAGGATTCCGGAATACAATGATTTTTTATTAATCACGTTGATTGATGATTGATAGGGGATAGACCGATACAACTTTTTTAAAGGATTTTTTTTTAATAAAAATTGTAAAAAAAAAATAAATGTACTCTTTTAATTTTATTTATAATATAAAAAAAGAAAAAAATTTTAATTTTATTTATAAATCACATCATTAAATTTTTACTCAAATTTTTTTTATTAAATGTTAAAACAAAAAAATATATTATTAAAAATTTATATTTAATAAGAATAAAATTAAAATAATATTTAATTTTAAAGTAAAATTAATAAATTTAAAATTGTTTTTTGATATAGATAAATTGATTTATAAATGAGATCTGAAAAGTAAGAAACAAGACATTGATATACACTAGACTTGATTTACCGTCGGTAGGTGGAAGCGAAATGAGGTGAATTCTAATTCCGCCGCGTCGCAAGGGGACACCGGCACACGGCTACCCGTTGGAGTCAGCGCAAAGGTCAAGCCTTCCAGTTTGGAAGAAAAGCAACCAAAGCATCTTCCACAATGCTCTCTCCCCCCTTCATAACATCACTTCTCTCCTTCTACCGCTTTTCATGGAGGTCTTGAACCCTTCTCATCCTCCTCAGCATCAGCAGTATGTGGCCGCCAGAGACCCCTTCCATGGCTACTCGCCCCCTCTCACTCTGACTCTGCCCTTCGCCTTCCAGGAAGCCGCCACCTCTCAACTAACCTACCCCATGGCAGAATGCACTGAATCCGTTTACGTTGCCGTCGGAAAGTCGGTGGACAAAACCGTCCATTTGCTTCGATGGACTTTCGGCCGCTTTAGCAACTCACCAATTTGCATTCTTCATGTTCATCAGCCTTCCTCTATGATCCCCACTCTTTGTGAGTCTGACCATCCATCCTTCTGTGTACTTTCGTCTCCGTTTGGAAGTTTCTCGACTCGTATCCTCTAATTTGGGAACTGTCAAGTCTTATCTATATCAATTTAGCTTATTTCTGCTTTGGAATTCTTTGGTTTAATTTTTCGTTCTCGCCAAATTTCAATCCTACACTGTAAATTAACTTCGATTTGTTGAGCAGTAGGAAAATTGCCAGCAACCCAAGCAAATCCTGAAGTTGTATCTGCTTTTAGAAGAGAGGAAAGAGATCAAACCACGAGGCTTTTGGAAAATTACCTGAGCATTTGCCGTGTAGCTAAGGTATCCATATCTTCTCCTATCTGTATTCACTGGTTAAGAACGTTATTTTTTTTTTCCCTCCTTGATTTTTTCCAGATATTGGCATGTCAGCTTTCTTGGTTGGTTTATAATTTTTTTACTATTTTGGGTTGGAATTGCCGAATTGTCTCTCCTTACTCCTTAGTACCCCAGATCTTTTTTGGTGTAAAATAATGAGATGCTCCGCGAAGTAAGCTCCTTTTGTTTATGTGTATGACATAGTGCTAGCTAAGCTGCTTGCACATCGCGAAAATTCACTCATGGTTCCGTTTCTGTACCAAAAAAATTTGTGTGTATGCTTTTTTATCTAGGAAAGTTGGTAAATCTTTCAAGTAAAAGAATTCCACGTACCGTTCGTCAAATACACTCTTTTATTCTTGTTGGATTTGGATTCCCTCAATTGAGGATATTAATCATCAAATCATGATCTACTGACGTTGAAGGGTGAGTTTCAAATTTATTTTCTTAAAAGAAAAACAAAGGTCTTTACCTCAACATCATTAGATCGCAATTTAATGGTTAATATTCCTCAATTGAGGGAGCTCAATTGACAGGATCCAAATCCTATTCTTATATACTAAGTGAGTATTAGGGAATCAGATGCAATCAAATTGACAGTTCATTAAAAAAAAAATTATATTTTCTGATGTAGCTGAGAGCAGTTTGGAGGGAGCAAATTTGATTCTTGGGAAGAGCACTAAATGCATGCCCAACCACGCTTGAAATCTTGTTTTGTAAAGGAAAAGTACCCGACCTTGCATTTTGCTAGACATTTTAAATCTAGTTCTTTATCAACTAGTCACTTTGTTTTAATGCCTTGTGCTTCGAAATATGCACAGTAATGTATTTTAAATTTTATTTATATTTCGCTATTAGAGAAAGTGCAATTCGTATAATGAATCTGTTATTAATGAATTTCTTTAAAAGTTACTTCTTTCAGGTTGAGGCAACAAGTGTGATAGGTGAAGCAGAGCAAGCGCAGAAAGGAATCATTGATTTAATCATCAAGCATGGTGTTAGGAAGCTTGTTATAGGAGCAGTGCCCGACAAGTAAGTAATGTTTTGATTGTAGACCGGTTCTTCGCTGAAAATCGCATTTCTAATTTAGTATTCAAAAATCAAACGAGACTTCTGATTGCCATAAAAAATGATTGGATAAAATGCAGTCGCATGAAGGTGAGAAGGAATTCCAAGAAAGCAAATTATGCTGCCAAGAATGCTCCCCCATTCTGTGAGATATGGTTTGTTCACAAAGGTAAACACATATGGACAAGAGAAGCTTCTGAAAATCCTTGTTCCTTCTCTTCACAATCTCAACCTGAGATTGCTGCCTCAGGCAGCTTGTTAAGTAGGTCATTTCAATACGGTAAGAGTGAATTACTCAATAGATCAAATTCTGCAAGAACTACAATCTGCACAGGAATTGATAGTTGGTCTCAGGGCGAAATCTTGGAAACAGATCCAACTTCTTCATCAAAATCATCCACTTGTGTCAGTCACTGTTCTCCCCAAAATTCTACCGGGGGTTATTTGGAGACTTCTTTGGACGTTGAAGAAGATATACTTTGTAGTCAACTTACTGAAGCCAAAATAGAAGTTGAGGCTGCGAGAGATAAGGGTTTTGCAGAGCTTTTGAAATGCAAAAGATTTGAAGCAGAAGCTATAGAGGCCATAAAGAAGGTAAGCATAACCTATTAGCAAAGAAGCCTATGCTCTTTCTGTTTACCAAAGGGAAACTGGACAGTTGGATTGTTGCCTTACTAGGAGATATCAAATATAACCATTTTCATTATGTTTTAAAGAAGCTTTGACAAATTCAATGAAAAGAGGGAAATTGTCAACAGGATACTTGGCTCATTCGGGCTGTTTCCTAAACTTGTTCAGGTGTAAATAATAGAACAGACCTGGAAAACAATGTATGATTAGTGATAAATGACAATATTAATTGTTCTGCATGATTATATTCTGAGCCCTATGACTTTTGTTCCAACCTAGTAAATTTTTTCAATAAGATACAACGACAACATGGATTGTACGACGTTATTGTACTCTATCATTTATCAAATTTTTAGAAATATTGTTAATTAAGCGTTTTCAATCAACAATTTTCATAAGCATTCTTTTTAGCCTTCCTCTGACCTTCTTAACATGATTCAAAATTATCCATTTCACTCTCCTCATTGGTGCTTCCCGCGCAGTCTTTTTTGTACATATCCAAATCATTTCAAACGATTTTCTACTATTTTTCCTTTGATAGATGCTACAACCACTTTTTTTCGTATATACTCATTTAGGATGTTATCTAGATGTGTATACCTGCACATTCATCTCAACATTCATATCTCTGTTACTCCAACTTTATAATCTTGCTGTCCTGTTAAAGCCCAACATAAATTATCATATAACATTGCTAATCTTATAATAGTTTGATATAATTTTCCTTTAAGTTTATTAGGTACATTTCGATCATGAATAACTCTTTTTGTCTTTTTTCAGTTAAACCACCTAGCTTGTATCTTATGTGCAACATCTTCGTTAATTTTCCCATCATGATGAATAGTTCCTAAATATTTAAATTTTTTCACTTAAGATATCATCTAATTTTTCAATTTCACTTCCAAATGACTACTAATTGATCTCTTATCAAAATTACAATACAAATATTTTTTCTTACTCCTATTTAGGCAAAACTTTTTGACTTAAATATTCTCCTCCATAACTCAAGTTTACAGTTAATCTCTCCTTTTATTTTCATAATAAGAATTATATTATCCACAAAAAGCATGCATTTGAAGATTTTTTCTTGAACATGCTCAGTCAAAGCATCTAGGACCAAACCAAACAAATAAAGGATCAAAGATGATCCCTGATGTAACTAATCTTTATAGGAAAGTCTTTTATTTTACCACCAGACGTTTTTAATACTAGTTATTGCCCTTTCATACATATTTTATAGAGCTCTAATATAGGCAATCCCGACTCCTTACTTTTCCAAGGCTTTTCAAAGTATTCTTCTCTATTAGATATTATAATAAAAATATATGAGTCTTCACAGCAATTTAAACTTTTGAGTTGAATTTGTCTTTGACACTTTCTATCATCCAGGTCAATATGTTTGAATCTGCTCGTGCATATGAAGTAAAGCTAAGAAAGGAGGCAGAGAATGAACTGAGAGCCACATTACAGGAGCAACAAAGGCTCTTGGATGAGAGTGAAGAAGTTGCTAGTGTGCTACAGAGGACCATGAGAAATATTGCCCTTCTGGACAGTCGTGTACAGGAGGCAAACTGCAGGCATGATGAAGCTGCAGATGAGTTATTACTAATTCAAGCATCCATCTCAACCCTGTGGCATGAAAAGCAGCAGATTAGGCGACAAAAAATGGAAGCCCACCGCTGGCTTGACCGATGGAAAAGTCGGGGACAATTTGGAGTTGCACACTGCCATGGGTTCATTGGATTTGCTGATGAATTACCAGAGTTAGCAGAATTTTCACTGTCAGATCTTCAAAATGCTACGTGCAATTTTTCTGAGAGCTTCAAAATTGCACAGGGAGGATATGGTTGTATTTATAAGGGGGAAATGCTGGGTAGAACAGTTGCTATAAGGAAGTTCCATCCACATAACATCCAAGGACCAGCTGAGTTTCATCAAGAGGTCAGTTGTCCGTAGCAGTTTTTCTGATTCTGAAATTATTTATACTGAATGCTTGTATCCTAGAAAGGACCAGAGGCAGAAACGAAGAGATCTTGAAGCTTTTACTATTGTCCATAAATTGTTTACATATGAGGGACAACTGCTACTCAACACCTACACAACCTTTTGAAGCTGATCAGGCGAGAGACCATGTTAGCTTGTCTTAAAAGTGCTTATAAGCACTGGTAGTCGGTAGATGCAATTTACAAATGCATGTCCTTAGAGTAACGTTGGATGCTTCTCATATTTTAGACCTTAAAGCCTTAAATTGTTTCGAGGATGGTTTTTATAATGTCTCAAAACACTGAAGGATGAATGAGTCCTTCAGATATTCACTACAATTAACAGAACTGGTGTTAATTTTTGCTTTGTATCTCATTCCAGCCTATAATCGCCTTCAAAGTTCAAACTGCAAACTTGCTGATAGAAGTAGGAACAGCAGAGGAAAGTGAGAATCTCTGTAATGCTTGAATACATAGGTCTACCTACACTCATATGAGAGTAATTGCTATTTATAAACTACAATTAACAATAAATTAAAACAGAAATCACAAGAGCTAAGATGTGATGCTTTCCTGTCCTGCTTCATGGGTTAGGTGCTGCTACCAGTTGCCAATCCATCATCTCTACCAAATTCTTCCCCGTGTTGGCCATGTGTTACTGCAATTTCCAATCCTCTTCTCCCATTCTCTGTAATTCTCTGTAATAGATTCTTCCATGTTCTTTTTTTTCCCCCTGGGGCCACAGGACTCTCCCCAACTCCCAACTTCCTACCGCGTGTCCTCTTCCTAAAATATGTGATAATGTGTCTTTTATCACTTGCTGGTGTTTTTAGTTTGAGATGTTGAGCTCTTTCTTCCCATTTCCTTGGATGTTTAGCAGATGTTTCGCTTCTTTTGTCCAACTGATGTTTACCGTTGTGTTCCAGGTTCAAGTTCTTGGTAGTCTTCAGCACCCTCATCTATTGACTTTGCTTGGTGTTTGCCCTGAAGCCTGGTCTCTGGTGTATGAGTACTTACCCAATGGAAGTCTTCAAGACCTATTCCGGAAAAATAACAATCCCTCTTCGACATGGAATAGCCGAGCACGTATGATTGCTGAAATTGCTAGTGCTCTTTGCTTTTTACACACTTCCAAACCTAAAACTATTGTCCATGGTAATCTAAAGCCTGAAACGATACTTCTTGACTCTGCACTTCGTTGCAAGATATGTGGATTTGGGTTCTGCAGACTGTTGACAGAGGAGTCACTCTATCGTCCCAGTTTCAGATTCAGCACTGAGCCAAAGGGTACTTCAGCATACACAGATCCAGAGCTTGAGAGGACTGGAATACTAACACCGAAGTCTGATATCTATTCCTTTGGACTTATCATTTTGCAACTCCTCACTGGCAGGACTATTCCAGTTGGGTTAGCTGGTGAAGTGCGCAAGGCAGTCTCATGTGGAAAATTGTCTTCAATTTTGGATTCTTCAGCTGGAGAATGGCCTCCAGCTGTGGCAACACAATTGGTTGAACTAGGACTGCAATGCTGTCAGCAAAATGGCAGAGATAGACCAGAGCTAACACCTACTTTAGTGAGGGAATTGGAGCAATTGCATGTTTCAGAAGATCGACCAGTGCCATCATTTTTCTTGTGTCCTATCCTTCAGGTGATTGATGCTTTTATATTTACGTATACCAACACACGTACATGGGCAAGTGCTATATAGGGCACACCAAAAAAGAAGTTAAATGAGGGAGAATGGCATTTGGTTACTTTGCAAGGAAATACTTAGGTAACCATTTCAAAAGGGCAGTTATTAATATTGTACGACGTGGTTCTAAATCTCAAAAGGGTACTTGTAAATAGATGTGTTGAAGATATCAAAGTGTGGATAGTTTTAACCAAATGTCATTCTTCCAAAAGATAATATTAAATCAAATTGAGATGTCAACTTGGGCTATTAGATCTATGTAACTTTGCCATTATTGTGAATTAGAATTACTAAATTCTTCAAATAAAGTGCAAGATGACTTGCGATGCTAGGCTTGGGTATTCCAAAGCTAAGCTTAATTGTAGAACCTGATTTAGTTTATCGAACAATATGCAGCTATTTTCAGCATTTAACATGGTTCAAATTCTTTGAATTACTTTTTCAGGAAATAATGCACGATCCCCAAGTTGCGGCAGACGGATTCACTTACGAAGGGGAAGCCATTCGTGAATGGCTGGAAAACGGTCATGAGACTTCTCCCATGACTAATTTAAAATTGAGTCACCTCCATCTCACGCCCAATCATGCACTTCGTCTTGCGATCCAAGACTGGCTTTGCAAATCCTGAAGTTCGTATTGACTTATTTATATATTTTGCAAATATCTGTAAATGTTAGTTTTGCATTCCTTTGCTTTACTGCATCCCAGATCCATCAATCTGACATATTGTACATACAGAGTTGCCATGAAAGATTCTCTAGTTTATAGAACTATTTAGCGAACTGGATTGACGTTACTACTACCTTGAGCATATTGCTTTAATCAAGTCTCTCAATTTTAGGGACTTCGTAAATAAGCTGCCGTTATCTGAACCAAGAAATAAATAGGCCTCGCCAAAAGAGCAGGATCCTTTTTATTATGCTTCACTAACGTTGCTGGACATGCCTGTCAACAGACTATTTGAGATGCCTTAAACTGTCCAGTGGCCACTGGCCAGTGAAGGCGAACTTCGATTAAAAAGTAGATACATGACCACAGTAATTGCTCAGTGAATGATGGCTGAAGTAACCAAAAAGTAATTAAGCATACGGCATGCCCACATGCATGAATAGCATCGCAGACCTTCGGCTGGTTTTCTACTGGGAACGAGCAAAATTGCAGAGCTTTTTGTGGCTCCATACAAATGTTTACATTGCTTCAACAGCCCTGTAGTATTCCTCCTCTGGCAGAAAGCAGAGAAACAGAGGCATGCTTCTCTGTTGAATTAAAGGGGTGATCACCTTCCTCTTTGAAGTTACCAAGACTGGAGTCTTGGTTGCTACGATCCAGAAGTGAATTTGATTCCCCTTTCAAGTTCCATTGGCGCAGCTCCTCCCTGTCAGGAGCCACGTTTTCTTTTATTCTTGTTTCAGACTTCTGAAGCATCTGATTTTTAGCCACATCGTTCTGGCCTCTGGTTGAGTCAGAGTTGTGGTTTTCATGGCTGCTGACATCAGAGTTAAATGTGCCAAATGATGCTGATGACGGTGGTGCTTGTCGTAAACTGGTTTGTGCAGATGAGCGTTGGCTGAAACTTCCAAACCCTTGGATGCCTTTGGAAAGCCTGCGAGCTCGATCTCTCTCTTCTTTAAGAACATGCCCTTCTTCTAGCAGTTTCAATATTCTATCTGCTTTCTTTCTGACGTTTAAACCCCAATTGAATCTGCACAATACTCCAAGTGAGCTCACAAATTGGTGCCACGAGTGTCAAGAACAATACAATTCACGAGCTCTCTTTCGCTTCCCGGAAAAAAATTAAATTTTTAGGAAGATTTCATAGAGAACTTTTGGCATAACATTTTTATTAGTTGACAAGACGTCCCTGTATTTTTATGCTTTGGGGATACTAATGAAGCAGACCAAAAGATTACAAAAAACGCACCCCGTTTCATCAACGTACTGAAAGCCGATCATCTGACAGATGACATCTTTGTCATCCTGGAGTTCTTGTGCAAAACTTTCAGGTCCATGAGTCAACAGGTGCTCAATCACGATCAGAGAATTATAAGAGGCCCTCCAGTTCTTCTTTTCAAATTTAACCAGCCTGTTTCAAAATCATACCATTCAATCATCCATTATCACTTTTGTTTTGTTTTGTTTTTTGGGTAAGAAAGGCAAACTGCAAAACTTGAAGAGATTACAAGTCACTGATCAGAGGCCCAGGGAATAGAAAGAAAGAAAGGAGGAAAGGGCGATAAACCTTTTGTGCAGAATCTCCACAATCCTCCAATAATCATCGACTTCAAAAGCAGCCTTCGAAATTGATCTGAGTGTTGGGGAATCTGGGGCCCACGGATTCCCATTTGTAGCCTCTTCTGTCATCCTGCGAATAAAAAAACATCAAACAGGAAGAAAACCAGAGATCTATAGCCAGAACTAGAGCCATCTTTGATTATGGAGGGGACTAAGAAGTGATCGATAATAGAAAATTAATTGGAAGAAGAAGAAGAAGAAGAAATAATCATACAGTTGAGCAGGGGTAACATCCGTGAGAGCTAATCTGGCAGTCTTGATTTTCTCCTTGAGGAAGAAAGAAGCTTGTTTCTTGAATTCATGAAGCATGGGTGTGCCCATTTTGCTGTTGCTGTTAATTTGTCAACAGGGTGGACATTTCCAAACTTGATGCCGCATCCAAGTTTTATGAATCAAATGAAGTGGGGCTTCATCAATTATTAAAAAAAAAATAAAGAAAAGAAAATAGAAAACGGGAGTTGATGATGTATGGGAGGAGAAGAAGTCAAAGAGGAATTATGTAGAATATTTATTTTCAAATGATGTTTTGTCCAAATGCTATTTGTTTTATTTTATTGTTATTAATATTTTTCAGTGTTTGAAACAGTAAATCCATGAAAACTCTAGGACGTTTAAGGTCAACATATCTAACTCAAGTAATGAGTGGGGGCACCGGGGTTGAATTGTGAGGCGCGTTAATTGCCTTTTTTACAGAAGGAGTTTTGCTCTACAAGTGGGAGCCCAAACAGGCCATTGATGAAAAGATAGAAGTTTTGGAAATCTTGATTGTAAGCAAAGCTCTGATAAAATTTAAAGCATGTTTGGTTCGAAAAAAAAAAAAAAGAGGAGAGTGAAAGGAAGGGAAGGAGAGGGGGAAGAGGGGGAGGGGAGGGAAGCTCCCCTCCAATTTGAAGGGGAGGCTTTGGAGAGGAGGGGAGGAGAAATTTTAAAAATAACCCCTCCTCTCCGGAGCCCCTCCCCTCCTCTCCCTCCAACCAAACAGGCTCTTAAAGTTGAGAATTTGGACAGAAACTTGAGGCACAAAGCGTCATGGGATCAACGTGGAGCAGTAGATTATTAATTTCATAGTTATAGGGTCATAAGTCATGAATCATAAATCATAAATAATCATTTCAGTTGCACAGATTGAAAGCTCCGCCTAGTTGAACAATGACTTCCTCAACGATTGCATCGTGCGACACCTGGAGGTTAATATCAAATTCCCTTCCCTTTCATCCATTTAGAAAAATGTCTTTGAATTGACTTGTTTTGTTATCTGATCAATCATTTTCTGAATATCGATTTTGTAGTATGAAAAAAATCAACAGCCTATAAAAATTTCAAATACATAAATAATTGACACATCTTTCTCAATTTGTTTTGCTATCTTTAATGCTTCTGTTTTGCCCCCCCTTTTTTTGATAAAGTCGCTTATTTTCGCCTTTTTATTCATGGGCCTAGCCCACTACCTGGGTTCCCAAACCAGAATGAATGCTGGTCCTATACAACAAAGTGAATGAGGATAGTAGTAGCCGAGGGTTGATAAACGCAAAGCCCAAAAAATATTGGGCCTATGAAGAATTACAAGGCTACAAAACTTGATTGACTCTCCCTTCGGTCAGTTCAACATTTGCTGCCATAACGACACCGTTTGGAACTGAGATTAAGATTAACTCTTAATGCACCCAAAGAAGATTAACGCCAAGCCCAGCAAGGCTAGGGTTTTGTTTGTTGGCCGTAAAGCCAGCGGAGAAGGTTGGGTGACCACGCGCGCATAACAAAATCGAGGGAACAGGGTAGTACACGAAGAAAATCGTTCTGTCAGTGCGATTCGTCGGTGGATCAAACATGGACAAGAGCATGCTAGGAGATCTGGAAGCCCTTCCAGAGGAAGATAAGCTCAGAATGTCCGCCATGATCGATCAGCTCCAAATCCGAGACAGGTTCCTCTACTCTCGCACAAATATTTTCCGTGTGATTGCACCTTACGATTTCATGTATTTCGTGTATGCAAGTCCATCTTGTGAAACGAGTTCGGGGCTCTGATATTCTGCGAAGATGGAATAGCCTAAAGTTAAGTCTTTGTCAGTTTGGCGGTATAGACCGTCAGATTTGGACTTACATTCCGATTCTGGGGCTTCGTATTACTTTGTAATTCATGAGTACCAGACATCTTTTAATCCTTGTGGTGCTCTTCCTGTGAAGCCAGAGCGAAGTTCTCCTTAAAACCAGATCAACATGTTCATGTTGCACCTGGACGTTTTGGGAACAACAATTTGTTAGGGGTTTTCCTTTTCTTTTACTGATCTTAGATGTTATTAACCAGTCTTTGCTAGCAGTTGTCCTTGAAATAAATTCTGATCCAATGTACCTAGAAGTCGCCTTTTCGGTGCGCAGGATGTGCCCTGTTTTGATCCGTATAATGTACTGTCTGGGTCATGCCTTGTATCTTTTACAGCACCTCTGGTGACTGATCAAAGGAAGATTGAATATGTGATATTTAGTTTACCACATTTCTGTCAGTGCAGGCCATGGTTTCGGTTTAAGTATAAAATTCTATACGGTTCTATGTGTAGCACTTTTTTGTTTGTTCATTTCCATGTAGTTTGATTCGACTGCCCTCTATGAGAAATGCAATTAGTCAAATTTATAAAAAATTAGTGTCCACAAAGAAAGGTAGGGCGATGGTATAAATATGCTTCGATTATTTTTATGCTGCCATTACGATGTGGCTCTTTCAATGTCTTGTTTGCTCTTCTTGTTGAAGCATTGCTTGGTGTGAGGTGTCAGGTGTGAGTCTAATTGTAATAACTTGGTTGCAGTCTAAGAATGTACAATTCACTGGTGGAGAGATGCTTTAATGATTGTGTTGACACCTTCAAGCATAAATCCCTGCAAAAGCAAGAGGAAAGCTGTGTTCGAAGATGTGCAGAGAAGTTTTTGAAGCACTCCATGCGTGTTGGCATGAGGTTCGCAGAGCTCAATCAAGGAGCGGCCACACAAGATTGAGAACTGCAATTAGACCAAGTCGGGTTTCAGCTACACTGTATTTAGGATTTTGTCAGACATCGACCACAGGCCCCTTTAAAATTCAAAAGAGTTAGAAACTCAACGTTGTCTGTGATAAGCTCTTTTGTAAAGCATCTTTTCCGGAAGATTATCTAATATTTTGCTTGTCCAATTATATTGTGGCTGTTGCCTGTTTGACTAAAAATTCGTAATGAATAAATTTTGGTACTGTTTTCTTCTTGTTGGTGTGAAGGTTTTAGCGTTGCATGGAAAACCGCCCGGTTGAACCCATGAATCAGCCTCTACACCAGTCCGGTTTTCCATGTAACCCATTCAGGATGTGACCTGGTATAATCTGGATAACTTGACAGGTTACATGGGTTGACCAGGTTACTTAAAAAAACTGAAAAATACAAAAAATGAACTTGTGATCAATTTTTGTCTCAAAGTTGAACACTCACGTTCAATTTCAAAATCCCACCAGTCATCTCTAGCTCTAGCCTTAGCCCTAGCTCAAGTTAATCATTGCTCTCTTTGGCCTTGCTTGGTTGATCCCCAATCATCTACCATCATTGCTGTCCTCTCTACTATCATCACTCTCCTAGTTCAAACTCTTCTCATCGGCCGTTGCTCTCTTGGTTTTTAAAGAGATAAACCATATGGAATTTGGATGGATTGAAGGAAAGGGATAAAAAAAACAGAAAAAGAAAAAGATGATAACATATAAAAAATGATGAAGGAAAGACGAGAGAGAGCAGATGAAAGTGACTTGCATCTCCGACTTGTTGGTGTGGAGAAATTTTCTAAGCCCCACCAATTCAAGACAGGGCACCTAAGAAAGAGAGAGCAAGAAAATCGGATCACTTGAGACTTGAGAGGAAACTAAATATGCCTATGTTTGGTTAGAGGGAAAGAGAAGGAAAATACGCTCCCCTCCCTTTGTTTAGTAAGGTGAAGGGGAGGGAAACCCCTCCAAAACCTCTCCCCTCCTTCCTTTTCCTTTCTTCCAATCAATTATTGTCTAAAAAATGAAGATGTAAAATTCATTGATACATGCATTTTTTACCTTTTTTGGACTTGTTACCTTTTTTGACTTTTCAATTTTGACATTAATAATTAGTGTTAGTCACATCTTTCAAAATTAAAAAATAAAAAAATTAGTGTTAGTCACAAGCTTTTCAAAAATGAACATTTAAAATATTATTATTACAAAGTATCAGTTTTAAAGAATATTTTTAGAATAAGTGGTTTTTATTTATTTAAGTATTTTTTTCATAGTCAATAAATATATGTTTGCATGTTTTAATTAAATTTTATTATTTTAATTATAATCAGTCAGACCCCTAATTAAACCACTAACTCTTGAACCGTTATTTCGACAGGTTTAATGATCGATTCAATTTTCAATATTTTGAGTTTTAATTTTATTAAAAATAATAATAATAATAATAATAAATAAATAAATTTCGGCACTCATCCGCGCAGGTCTTTGTTAGCCCCTCCTTCCATCTCAGACACAACTCGATGATTACGTGCGAAGAATGAAGCGATTTTACGTGCACCCACTGTTCTATTTTCGTCATTGCTTGCTTGGGACTCAAAGATCAGCTTGCACAGTTTATGACGTTGATCATCAGAAGACGGAACCTAACTCAGTGATTCGATAATATTTGGGTGTAACGTCATCATCAAAGTCGGAACTCAGGGAAACTTATTCAATAGTAGAGGCTTGTGGCTAGCCAGATCTTGTGATCGTAGTCTTCGCTCTTCCGGCTGCTGGTAGTTGAGATCTCGTGATTCAATGGGTCAAACCTGAAATTTGTGAAGAGAAGGGCTAGATTAGCGAATATTACTCCAGGCATTGATGTAGATGCTAGACCTGTTCAGACCATATATCCGAACATTTTCAAACAAATGACCCGTTATCCTACAACGTCTGTCACTGCTTCTATCACATGATTTAGAGGTTTTTCTGGAAAGGGAGAAAAAAGGAAGGAAAAGAAATATTGTCCTGTAATCTCAGTGGCGCTTCTACTTTCACGCAAATGAGAAGTGTTTTGGCGATCGATGTTTTGGATATTGTGGTGGAAACTATTGACATTTAAGAGGTTAAGATATACATGGAACAAGTGGTTCGATGAATAAGATGTCTTCACGTTTGGTTGTGGTCATTGGATATTGCCGGTTAATTAGATAACTTTTTTGAAAATTGGTTTAAATATTTTTTTGGCCAAAAAAATTGGTTTAAATGTTGCCACACGATTACTTTGTTGCATATAAGTTGTGGATGGTATGGACCATGGGCATCTAGGATTGCAGCCAAGTGTTTTTCCCAATGTAACGGTTCACGGTTTGCATGCCTCATTAAGTTAGATTAATGATTAAATTAATAATATAATAGTTAAATTTAAAAATTATATATATATATAATAATTTAAATATAATAAATAAATATGAAATTATTACTTAATTTAAAAATAAAATTAAGTATTTTAAATTTATCATGACTTAATAAATCACATGATATAATATAATATCAAATAATTAAAAAAATTGATCATTTTTTAAAAAAATTTGACAAAAAAAATAAAAAGAGACATTTTTTGAATAGTTTTAGTTTTTGAAAACCAAAACCAATTTTTAGCTTGATTTTAGTTCCCGATCTGATCGTCAGTTCAAAATGACCTAATTCGATCCAACTTTTTAAATTGTTTTTTTTTTCTTAACCAAACTGTTAGCCTGATCAATCAACAGTTTAATCTTTTTGTTCAATTTAGTTTTTTAAATCACTGGTTCTCCCTTTTTAGAAACAAGTCTTTCTTCAATGCATTTCTATTCCATGCCTTGCTCTCATGTAATATCTACCCGTCGTTTTCAGCCTCAAGTGGAAATTGGTTTATCCTCAATGCATTTCTATTCCATCTTTTAGCCTCGCCTATTTTAATATTTACATCAGTATGCAAAATATCTTTTATTATTCACGAAAAGAAAATTGGCTGCATTTCTTTTTTCATTAACGTACTTCTGAAAACAACGGGTTGTTTTGACCACATAAAAAAAAGGGAAATAAAAGAAAAGTAGACGAGAAAGCCTTGGATTTGGACTCTGGAGGAAACACAAGTCCTAACTCCTAACCCTAAACTTATTCAGTAATTTGCACTATAAAAGGCTTCTTACCCCTTTCACGCCTGTCACTTGTATCACGAGAACATCGGCGGAAGGAATTGAGTTCATCGGTGGATTCGAAGCTAAAAGAACGATGGGCAGGAAGTTTTTTGTCGGTGGCAACTGGAAATGCGTATGTTTCTAAGTCTATCGTCTCTTCACTATCTCTACATCTGTATCTGCATTTCTAATTTTTTTGAAAATCTTTTTTATATTTATAATTAAAATTGGTGAAAGGTGGGAGTTCGTCACTATCAGTGGCGATCATTCTATAAGTGTTGTCTTCGGGTCACCGGCAATCAGATCGGAGGATTGATAGTGAGCTTGGGGTTCATTTCTCGTTTCTGAATTCATTTGAATCGGGATCACGTGATCTCTGAATCTCAGATATCCTTTCCCCGATCGAATTACTACTTAGCAGTTACACCCTTGGGATCGAGATATGCTCTATGAAAATTGTTGATTGACCTTATTGTGATGATATCAAGCACAAGCACAGCTCCGTTAGTGTTAAACTTTAGTGCGCTTTTGTCTGAGATTACGGGATTGATTGATTGCGTCAAATTTCTTGTTTAATGAACGTGTTTTTATTGTACTATGGATGCAATGCAATCAAATCAACGCCTGTTCTTAAGTAGCTGATGTATAGAGTTGTCAATATTGCAGAATGGGACCAGTGAAGAGGTGAAGAAGATTGTTACCACTTTGAATGAAGCTCAAGTACCTGGGGAAGATGTTGTTGGTGAGTTTTAGCCAGGTTTTCTTGGGCTTCTTTATTTTTGCGTCAAGCAAGGTTTATGCACATCTCAATCTAAATGATACTTGGCATTTGCCCAGGCGGCTTAGGAACTTCCGCTCTCTTATGTGGTTGTAGTTTGGTCTGAGAACTCTAGTCGTGTAGATATACAGTTCCAAAAAGTAACGATTATTTCCATTTTCAGTTGCTTATCTGGAATCCTAGATAACAACATTTCTCTTCTAGTTGCTATAATGATATTCAAATTTTATAAGTGATCTCCTGCTATAACTATCTCGTAAAATAATTAGGAATAGAAAACCTCTCTTAGATATTCGGGCATATTTGAAATTAATTTCATTTTTTTCTCTTGTGCAGAAGTTGTTGTCAGTCCTCCCTTCGTTTTTCTTCCTCTTGTCAAGAGCTTATTGCGGTCTGACTTTCATGTTTCGGCACAAAACTGTTGGGTTCGGAAAGGTGGTGCTTTTACCGGAGAGGTTAGGTATGCAATGAGTTAATTCTTCCCTGTTCTCACATCAATGCTTTTCATATAATGTCAATTGATTTTCTATCAATGTTGGAAAAACCTGATATGATTTATTGCTCATTTTCTCTTCCCCATTAGACGACCTAAGAGTGCCCATCTTATTTTTCCCTTTTCTAGTAGTAAAGCATTGTGTGTTGTTAATTATTGGGAGTTTCTGTGTCACAACTACAAGCCCTCTGGGTGGAACTCACCCTCAAAAGGCACCTTATAGGGGGAGGGTGTCTAGCTTACTTATAAACCACACTTCACCAATGTGGTCTCCCAATGTGGGACTCATGACATAGCCCACCTCTCAAGAGCCAGCGTCTGTGACGGCTCATGCTCCACGGCGCTTCACTCGGCCTGCGGCCAGTTAGCCTCTCTGTGGGCAACTCTTTCTGCAGACGGAGGCTCTCAATGAGAGCACCAATGTCACGATCACAAGCTCTTGGGGTAGAACTTACCCCCAAAAGGATGTCTTGTAAGGGGAGAGTGCCCATCTTACTTATAAACCACATTCCACGAATGTAGCCTCCCAACGTAGGACTCATGACATTTTGTCTTTTAAGTATATGTCTATTGCACTTTTTTCTGTGTGTTGGTTAGTGATAGGCTTGTGTTGCTCCCTGCCACCAAACAAGAAGTATTTTTATTCCACGAAGTAGGGTTAGTTAAATGGATCATGCACGCCATTATGTTCTTGACCCTTTAAAGTCAAATATTCATTATCATATAACATTGTTGGTCTTGGAGCAATTCAATAAAACAAAAAAAAAAAATCTTTCACTTTAATCTTTTGGGATTTAATATAGCTTCGGTGTTTGTGATGTGTCAGTGCTGAAATGCTTGTTAACTTGGGAATCAATTGGGTCATTCTTGGTCACTCCGAAAGGAGGCAGCTTTTAAATGAATCAAATGAGGTACAGTGTTCAACTTCTTTTGTGTATCGTGTGTAAGTGTTTCTTTTTTGTTAGGATTTTCCCCCTTATTGTGCTAACCAAGTGTAATATTGCTCAAAGTTATATTTCCTACTTACTTCAGTTTGTGGGAGATAAAGTTGCATACGCACTTTCTCAAGGTCTGAAAGTTATTGCTTGCATTGGGGAGACTCTTGAACAGCGTGAAGCTGGTTCGACAATGGCTGTGGTTGCTGAACAAACTAAAGCTATTGCAGGTGCCTGTATTTGTAACATTCTCAATGATGGAATATTCTTAATATGTTTTACCTGAACTTCTTTTCTACCAAAGATAGGTTAATTCAATACTGTATATCTTATTTGACTGATTTCAATTCTGTGTGCAGCTAAAGTAACAAATTGGGATAATGTTGTTTTGGCATATGAGCCAGTTTGGGCCATTGGGACAGGGAAGGTTGCGACTCCTGCTCAAGCACAAGAGGTAGGCCTTCCTCTAATTCACCACCAACGTAGTTGTTGATACCGAAATTCCCATTTTAATGAAATGTTTGGTGTCAGGAACTCAATTAATGATAGAAGTGAAATTTTTAGTCATACATGAAAAAGAAAACAATTTTGCTTGATCGCTTTTGTTGTTCTTGATATTTTTTGGTTTGTTATTAGCTTTGTCTGAAACCTTTTGTTTATTTATTTATTTAATTGTTCCTATCACAATTAGGATGTTGACGTGTCTCCTTTCCAGCCATGTACTTGTCTGGTATCTCATTTTCTGTAAAAGCATATGTTGAATACTAGTTCTTACAATGTGTTGGATGGTTGGGCTATAAGGTCCATGCTGAATTGAGGAAATGGATCCATGGCAATGTTAGTGCTGAAGTTGCAACATCTGTCCGAATTATCTATGGAGGTACCCCCTCTTATTAAACTTCACCTCATGTCCGTTTTGTTTTGTGCAATCAGGGAGATGTTAAAGAATAATCATGTTCGTCTTCCATTGGAGATTGTTCTGAGCTTTTCATTTTCATTCCTCTCTCTTTTTCAATGGAGAAAAAATAAAAAATGAGGCTTTAATAGCTGAACTTACTGAACGCAGGTTCGGTAAATGGAGCAAACTGCAACGAATTGGCGGGTCAGCCAGATGTTGATGGATTTTTGGTCGGTGGTGCTTCTTTGAAGGTGATTATTAATTGTCAAGGCCTTTTGTTATTTTTTGTGATTGTTTCTTGCTTTACTTTTTTTTTTTTTTAAGTGGCTTCTAAGTTAGATTGTTTTGTAATTAGCCGGAGTTCGTGGACATCATCAACTCTGCTACCGTGAAGAAGAATTGAAATATATAGTGAAGAAGCTTTATGGCAAGAGCGCCGTAATGTGCGGTTGGTGGTCTATACTCGGAGCTTGTGTGTAGGCAGCACGAATGCTGAATAAATAATGTTTTCTTGGATCTCATGAGTAGGGCGATCTCATGGATTTTGGTTAATGGTTAAATTTGTGTCTAAAAATGGTGTAATCACCCAGACATTTGGCGGGCAAATAATGCGGAACCTCCCTAGTTTTAGCATAAATGGGAACATCGCCTATTAGTGTCGTTTGAAACTGCGGTTTGATGTGGGCTCCATTCCGTACTTCGTTCGGAAGAAGGTGGACGGAATGAATCTTACGTTGAGGTTGTCTTTCTAAACATTCTAATTTCAGAAGATATTCTGGTTCAATTAAAAACATAATTAGTGCATAGAATGTAGCATTTTACAAGGGTATAGTACATCGGACGTCTGTAAAATACAAGGACAACGAAATTGTGGGTACAGCCAATTACTCTTGCCTCCACAATTTTTTATTTTGGAGTCTTAGAAGCTTTTATATTATTAAAGAATTAATATAAAAAATTAAATTGTTGTGGATTGAAATAAAAATTTCAAGTTTCAGAACAGATATTTTATGTCCTTGATTTGCAAGTTTTGGTTTAATATCTATAATTTTTTTTAATTTGCAAGAATTCAATTGCAAGTTGCAAGTTTATATTTGAAATTTTGATATTTTTTAAGTGTTGCAAATATCAATTGATTTTTTCAAGTTTTGTTTTAAGATTTATAATTTTTTTTTTAAATTCACAAGAAGCAATTCATAAATTCACATTTAAAATTAATTTTAAATATTAATTGTTATTTATAAGTTTTTTTAATATTCACAATTTTTTTTAAATTACAAAAATTCAATAACAATTTTCAAGTTTGTAAGTATCTATTTTGAGATTTGGGATTTGTATTTTAATCAAGAAAAATTTGGTCTTTTATATTTATTTCTTAATGATAGAAAAGTCCGTAAGGATTTAAAAAAAATTATGACATTTTAAAAGATCAAATGTCATTTAGATAGTTTAAAGAAATTTTAATGTCATATTCCCAATTGGCTTTGCGTATATTTTATTTTTTGAAAAAATTTGAAAGAAGTCAAGTTAGGATTTAGCCCCCAGAAGAAAAAATAAGGCAATAATTAACATTAGAGATGAAAAAGGTATCTGATCCCTTGGTGTGTTGAAGTGGGTAGGGTGGTCCCCAAGCATTTAGAGGGTTATTGGCCCTTGGAATTTCATCCATTGAGAGAAGCCTTCCTCTCCACCTCTAATCAGATTACATTTTGATGATTTCGATTAATTTTAGCTCTCTTAGACATAGATTTGGATCGTCTAGACTAAATAATATAAACGATACAAATTTAATGTTTTTTATTTTTATTTTAAATTTATTGAAATAAAAATTTACAAGACCATTCATATGTTAATCTAAACTATATAGATTAGAGAATAGGTTTATTAGTTTTCTTTTACCATTTATATAATTTTTTTATTTTTAAAAATAAAAATATTAAATTTAAGTTTAAATTAAATTTGAACAATTTATATCTATACCTCTCTCATGGGTGCTAAAAAGGAGGAAGGAATAAATTGACTTTCTAAGATTGAACATTAGTACCCTAGAGGAAGTTCCTAATGATTTTTTCTATTAACTTAGAGCAAGATATCAATAGCATGGTTGTTTGTATTGCATAATAAAGGATTGAACTTAGTGTAGCTTTGGCAAGAGTTATGTGACTTACAAGAGAAAGGGAGGTAGCTTTCCAACTTGTAAGCTTCTGTTGAATTGTCTCTAAGATATACCCATATGTGTCTTTAGCAACTCTATTGTGAAGCACAAGTACCATTAGGTAATGACCAAGACATTTTGTACATTTGAGTTTCAATATATTGCAAACCTGACTTTGGTTCCTTCTTGAAACATTTCTTGAGAAGTGGATACGTGCTTTACTTTGGCTAACCCTTTGACCTGATGCACCATAAAAGTCTTTCATAAATTTTCACATCAGAAGAATTTGCCTTATGGAGACTTTTCTAAAGAAGAGCATGTCTGCGAAGAAGAGGTGTGATAATGGTGGTCCTTTTCTACCCATCTTAATGATATTCCAGTTGCCTTATTAGACTTATTTATGGATGGCTTAAGATGATATTTCTATATAAAGCATGAGGATGTAAGGTTATACGGTACCCCCGACCTTGCCGGTGCTTTAGAATGGCTCTCATTCCTAATGCTTGCATTACAACTCAAATGAATTTGATAAGGAAGCTAGCATCTATGAGTATATCTTGAATGACATTCCAGTTGAGCTCATCGAAGGCTTTCTCCAATTCTACTTTGATAGCATACCATTTCTTTTTGCATTGTTTGCTCCTCATGGAGTGGATTACTTCTTGTGTGATTATGATGTTTCACCTTTCATAAAACTTAATTGGTAGGGGAGGATGAGGTTTGACATTACTAATTTAAGATGGTTGGCCAGGACTCTAGTAATGACTTTGTAAGCTTCAAAGCATAAGCTTATAGGTTAGAATTCTTTGATGTTTGTTAGGTTAGGAATTAGGGATATAAGAGTGTTATTGAGTCTAGGATCTATAGGTTCTCCATTGAATACATTGTGCACCACTTTGAATAAAAATTGACCCACAATATCCCACTCACTTTGGTAGAATAGGGCATGAAGTCCATCAGGGTCAGATGCTTGGAAAGGCTTCATATCAAACAGAGAAATCTCAACCTCGTTAAGTGACACATCAACATTTAAAATGGTAAGAGAAGCATTGAATAAGGGAGGGGACATACCTCATGAACCATAGGGTTTCACTAATGTTAAGTATCAGTGTAGAGACTAGCGAAGAAATTGCATGCCATCATTTTGAGTGATGATTTGTCGAATATCCATGCTCTAATGGAGTAAAATGTGCCAACCTCTAGCCAATAGTGGCTGTAAGATCAAACTCATAGAAACACAAAATCATGCCTTCCTCTTTAAAGCTACTTTCAACTTCCTAAGTCAACCAAACAAGCTTTGGGTTCAAGTTCTTCGTGCCAAGTATAACTGGTCAAAAAGGAATAAGTATATCTTCCATACCCAATTTGCTTCTTACTTCTAACACGAGATAACCAAAGTCTAGCCGGACACAAAACTTAACTTGACTTGGCATCTGCGTAATGGTAATAGTGTCCATTTCTAGCAAGATAACTGGATTGGCGATATAGGTCCCCTCAAATTTCTTGCACATGCTAACATTCTCGAGGCTAACCTTTAAAGGCCTATAAGCGACTACATGAACGATTATAGGAGTTAGAAATGGTCACTTCTTTGAGGATTCCTCCCACCTAATATTGGTCTTAAACTTGCTACAACAACTCTCCTCACAAGCTGTGCAATCCCTGAACACTCGGTTACTTTTGCATATACAGCCATATAGGAGTTTAACTGGAACAAACCTGAACACTACTAAAAGTGGGTATGGTAATGGTCTGGCTTGCAACAAATTTGAACATTCCTTTGGCTTTTAATGAAAAACCTTCTCCTCGCAAATTTAGAGAGACAATAGGCCTACTTGAAATTGTTTTTATTTTATTATTTTGAGAATTAGTATTTTGTAAAATATGTTCTAAGAACAAAAAAATAATATGTGGTTTTTTCTCATTCTCTTTTATTTTCTAGAATAATAATCATAAAACACTTAATATTTTCATTTTTCTATTAAATAATATTTTATTTTTTTGTTCTCCAAAATATTTTTGAAAACATATAATGAAACATATTTTTTTGTTTTTTTGTTTTGGAAAATAGAACATTATTCCCAAAACAAATTATCAAATTGGCGTAACATCATGGGATGACTAATGATGCAACTTGCTTGGATTGTGATGTTGACATTGAAGACATTAACCACATCATCCGCCAATGCTCTATTGCTGGTGCTTGTTAGGGGCTGGTCTTGCCTCTGAAACTATAGCCTCATCAATCTATACCAAGCCCTTCAAGGAGTGGATGCTTGAAAATCTAAACCCATGACTTATGGGTGTCCATCGGAGACTTGGATTTGGCATGCTCTGCTAGAAGCTCTAAGCCAATACGAACAAAAGGATCTTTGTGAATGAAAATGAGACTCCCTATACTCTAGTCATTTTTTGTTTGTAATTTAGCTTATGCCACTATTAAAATGCGTGATCTGATTGATATCATTGATCATGTGGTCTAGTCTTTTTACTTTTTCCGCATGTAATTTGTAAATATTTGTTTGGTGATATTTCACTTCCATTAAAAAAAAAGAGGAAATTCAAGCCCTTTGTATAAGTGGCTTCCCTGATCCAACATGTTGTTAGGGGTTATTTTATAAGGGTATGACTTATATATCTAGCCTCATATACTTAATATACTTATATTTAATTAAATTATGACAAATAGATCTTAAAATTTTAACTAAATTAATAAAAATTTATTATAGAATAAATAATTTATAAAAGATATACATATCTTGATTTAATTAAAAATAACTATATTAAATATTTTAAAGTTATATTTAAAATTTTACTTACTTTTATTTCTTATATTTTTATTGTATTGGTATTGAAGAGATTGATAAAAATTTAAAAAAAGTATTAATCAAGGAGAGTAACATTCTAAAATTTTATTGTACTTTATTAGTTCATAATTGAAATTTATTTTTTTACATAAAATTATTAAATTGCTCTTAAAGTTTAAAATAATTAAAAAGGCCACCCTATTGTTACCGGCATCTCGAATTGCCGATGGTGGCAAATTTGTCAAAGCTCTTGTCGCTGTTGGCCACTTACTAAAACTTCAATGCTGGTGACTAGTGGTAAAGCCAATACTTGAGATCGGGGGGTGTGAGATAACAAAATTTAAAAATTAATAGTTTTAAAAATAATATAATAATTGTAAAAATAATTACATTATGCACAAAATATAATAACATAATTAAAATCATGCACATTTTTATTTAAGAAAAATATATTGAGAATTTATTATGGTAAAAATATGTTGAAAAGGTTGATATAGAGCTTAGGTTTGAAAGAAAAGAAAATTATTACCAAAAAGATGACTTATTAATGAGTGGTTGGATTTTATTATAAAATAAATAGCTCTCTTGATCCATTTTTCGTAATAATATGTCTAATCAGTTTAAATTTTTTGATTTGAATTTATGCAATGGGTTAGAATATCATATATTTAAAAGTTTTGAAACTTAAATATTATAAAAGGTTCAAAATTTTAAAACTAGATGTGCAAGATTGTAAATTTTACATATTTCATATGTAATTTTCCTTATGTGATGAGGTGCATTTGCCTCCCTCACATATATGTGGCCACCATTGGCGGTGACACTTTTATTAAAGGATAGTTGATAAAGATAATAAGGGAGGTTTTATCTCATGACCTTTTATTCACTTAAAAAGTTTTATGGCCAAGCTACTAAACTTATTTAATTATATATGGCAAAAAATTATATGTAATAATCCAAGCATGTAAATTACTTTCATATTATAATAAAATAATGTGTTGTTAATTCTAAAACAACACATGTTATTTTACTAATGACATGGTCAATTATAAATTAGGAGTTCTTAAACTTTATACATTGTACTTGTTGAGGTTTGATTGTATTGATGTTAATCACAAAGGGGTCATTATCAAAATTTGAATGAATATTTATTAATAAATATAAATGATCAATACTTGTACAATTAAGTCCATCATATTAGTTTTTCTAACTTATTAAAACTCAAATGAATTATTGTTAATTTAAAATGAGTTATTGTCAAGATTCAAATGGACACTTATTGATGAAGAAACAACACTTGTGCAATTAAGCTTATCATATCCACCCAAATAGATTATTATTAATTTCAAATGCATTAATTGTCAAAACCTGAATAACTTATTGCTTATATACTTATTTTATTAGACTTGTGCTTTCAATTATCAATAATAAATATTCAGTTTTAAAAGTTAAAAACCTTGACTCGTTAAATTTCTAAAGAAACCTTAACAAAAAATTTAAGTTAAGGTTTAGTTTTTTACAATAACAAATACGTCCTTTTGCAAAACAATATTTAATACAAAATTGATGGATTCTTGTTGTGATAAATTCATTTAAGAGGGCCTTAAATATCACTTTAAAAAAAAAACTAGTGTCAAAGATAGAACACTCCACCTTCCCACCTTGTCATCGCCATTGTTGGATAGCTTGTTTTTTTTAATTATTACTATTTGGTGTTGGTAAACACACATGCAGTGTCATCAAAGATATGAGTTGGCATTCAATCCAATAGATAGAGAGGGGCCAAAGGGGGAAGGCATGGGTTTTAGGTTGGTTGCACAATTATTTTTGGTAATGCACACTCTAACTCTCCATTGCATATATTATTCTTCCCTTTTGTCTCTTTCTTTGTTTTTCTCAAGGAAAATTTCATCCAGAACCCTTTCACTTGACATAATAAGAAAGCCCCTAAATTTTTAAAACCTCACTGCAAGTCTAGTGTGTTGAATTGAATTGAAATATAGTAGGAAATGATAAGATTGTCCTCATCTCTTTATAAGTAATTCAGTTGAAATAGAGCATTCTCTCTCCTTGGAGAGTCGCCAACTTGAGTGACAACACTACCCTTACTTCAGACAAGTTGTGCAATTCACCAATCCGACAACAAAGCTCCTAGTTGAAAAGCAAGAACAAGATCCAAGAGAACAAGTGTGACCACCTCATCACTATGCTTTTCCAATCATTTCTCTTTTATTTCAGTCTACAATGGAGGATTTTGAGGAAGATGATAAAGAACAAGGGAATAAAAAATGAACTAGAATTTCATTGGACTGTAGATATATTTGTTTATGTCCTTACTAAGTTTTGTTCATTGTTCATTTCTTTAGAATGGAATCGTTGCATTATATTAACTATGTTATAAAGTAGAAGCTCAAGAAAGATTTACAATTAAAGGCTACATTTTCTTAAAGCAGTGTTACAAACAAGTCCAATAGGTAAATAAATAACATTTAGTAGGAAAATGAACAACAATTTAGAAGCAAATAGATAACAATATGTTTGAATGACTTGTTTGTCATCCTAGTGTATGTGGTTCATTACCCTAGGCTAGTTGTTAATTTCCCTGCCGCATTTATTCATTATCATACTAACTTGAAAGAATTTCAAGTATTGGCATACCAATAGAACATACTTATACTAGTAGGATTCCATGTTTGAATGACTTATTCATCATCCTAGTATGCGTGGTTCATTATTCTACAACAATTGTTAATTTTCATATTGCACTTGTTCATTACAACTTTGACTTGAAAGAATTTCAAGTATTCATTTCATATCGATAGAACATACTCATATCAATAAGGTTTCATGTTTAATAACCAAAACTAAATTCCTTTTAAAACTCAGTCAAGGAAGATTCTTGGATAAGAACTCTGGTGATAGAGATGTCATTGATATTCAAATATCCTAGTTCAAGTATTAGAAAGTAGTTTGGGAAGCTTCACTACGTGTGTCCTTCAACTTCAAAAACCAATTATTCATGATAATCTTAAGTTGAATATAAGTTGAAAAACATCCTTTTATATTGCAATTACTAGTTGTACATCTCAAATTTTAGTTTTCACTTTCTCTTGAATCTTATTGTTGGCTAAGAAATGTTTGAAGCCTTGTCATTTAAGATTATCGACCATGCATTTAATTTTAGAGCATCCTTCAAAGTGCAGAGAGGCAAGGACACTCTTGTCATTTTTCAATAAATTTTAATTTCAATTAAGTACCCCAAACTCATAGTGAGGTTTTAAAAATTCAAGGTTTTTTTAATTATTATTATGTTTGCTCCAAGGGTCGTCAATAAAATTTTTCCTTTTTCCCACTCCAGTTGCTTCCCCGCTTTACCCCTTAGCTTCTTCATTTCCTAAAATGATCAATCGTGCTAGATTTTAATTACTATCCCTTCAATTCATTCACATATTCAAGTCCCATATCCTCGAACAAGTCTTGCTTGGACAAAGTTGACTGCCTTGGTGTCTTTTTTCCATGTATACAATTCATCCATTAGCCGGCATGCATAGTACTGGTGCCATTACTAGTTTGTATATAAATCTAAATAGTATGTACTGTTAAAATCAGTCGTAGTGATCAAAATAACCCAAAATATTATTGGCGTCAAATCCACATAAATGCAGAAATTTTACAATTTCAATCAATATTGATATAAAATAAAAGAATGAAGAATAACTGAGTGGAAAGTTAAATGAGAAATAGCAAATTTTGCATCCGACCTTGAACATGTCCAATATGTATGCTTTCTTCCATTGCAACCCTCTCCAAATGTTTGATATTCGCTGCAGATAAATTTTTGGTGTCCTTACCGATGGAAGCTCTTTTTATTCGTGGCTTGATGCATCGGTCCATTGCAAGGACAATTTTATTCGTAGCCGGATAAACCTTCACTTTAAAAGTTCCGTGTTTTGGGCCCAATTTTCATCCAAGTTGGTCACTACACCGTCATTTCATCGTCAAAACTCACCAAGTATGCAAAAATAACACATTTAGATTAACATGACATCTTATTTGACACATTTAAAAGCATTAAGGCATCATTTCCTCCATCGTCGTTATATAAAAACTGCAATAAATAAAATAACAAGTGCGCATGACTTTGTTCTCTGATATATTACTCCTAATACGAGTATGATATCTGTAATTGAAGGTGTGGGCATTTAGAAGAAGAAAATATCGTTTGTCGAAAAGGAAGAAAATAAAAAATCCATTTCTGATAAGTTCTCCCCAGCGGTCAACAGTAGGGTCCAAGGCCCATCCAAGTGGCCGAAGCTAGAAAGCTCAGTCTTGTCATAACAGACAAGAAATGGCGGGCAACTCAAGCCAGCCGCCAGATCCATGAGATCCAACGGCTCGCAGCGTGGGGAACTCTGCTGGCTAATCGTTCTTCCCCTCCCACGGTACCATTCGTAAAGGTTTGAGCTTCGTACATTGGACGAGAGAGGGTGGGCCCTTCAAATCTGACAATCCCCACCTTCCTCGCTCATCGCTTTCCCTCTGTCTTTACTATACAGTTCAGCCAAAACTTTTCTGGTTTGATTGTTCAACTTGCTTAAAATTTTGGATAGTCTTGCCATAGCCTGTTACTCGCACCACGACAAGCGTTAAACCCTTCACTTTCTCCTCCGCACCCGGTCCCCTTCTTCCTTCTCTCTACTATCCTTCCCATGAGCCCGGCCTCTTCTTTCAACCTCACTCCAAACAGGTGCGTTTCCTGAATTCTTGATTCCTGTTATTTTGTTGTCGACCTCTGAGCTTTCTTTATCCCTCTATTCAATTCATTCATCGTGATTTCTAGAACTTATGGGTAAATGTGTTCGCAGGTTTTAGTTTATTTCTAACATGGGAAGTTGTTTGGGCACCCAAATTAAAGCTGAGAGCCAGTGTAACTCAGGTATTTCTGGTTTTGCTTGCTCTTTGGTGCAACCCTGTTGTCGGGTGACCATGCTATTGATTTCTCGATTCATATCCTTGTAGGTATGTTGATCAGTTCCTTTTGTGATCGACTTCTCAGATGTATATTTTTCTCTTCCTCTCTCTTTCGCTTTGCCTGGCTCTACTCTTTCTTCCACTTCTTCTTCCTGCTTATATAACGCCTCTAATTTGTAAACTTATCCCTGTTTCTGCTCATGAGATTAAATTGAGTTACTTGAGTAGTTCTGACAACTCAACTTTTTGTCTTTAATTACTCATTTTACCGTCGTTTGATGCTAACTTATCTCGTCCATATATGTGGGGGGAGATTCGACTTTTGTGTTATGAATGTGTTTGATTGTGCTAATGTAGTAATGTTGTTAATTTCTACAGGGTCGACTTCAAAACACGTGAGCACAGATGGAAGTGATCTGCGCATCACGGGTAGCGAGGTTTCAAAGGCCTCGGCGACTAATACTAGTCTGAGTATGGGTGAGATCTTGCACTCAGCCAATTTGAAGAGCTTTACTTATGCAGAACTGAAGGCGGCCACGCGAAATTTCCGGCCAGATAATGTTTTAGGAGAAGGTGGTTTTGGATCAGTTTTCAAAGGGTGGATTGATGAGAAGTCCTTAACTGCTGCCAAGCCTGGCACTGGCATTGTTATTGCTGTGAAAAGACTTAAACAAGATAGTATGCAAGGTCACAGTGAGTGGTTGGTAAGTGTGAATCTTTTCTTTGCCCCTGGTAGGGAGTTTGATATATGCTCAGGTCATGTGTGATAGTTATGTTTTTACTTGACAGGTAAGACATGATTAATAATTCAAGAATCAAGTAGACTTAATTAATTTTGTTACTCTTGTAAGGTAAACTGAGTGGAGTTGGTTTGCCCTGTTTTTCCTTTTCTCTTCTAGGCTGAAGTGAATTGCCTAGGACGATTTTCTCATCCCCATCTTGTAAAGTTGATTGGGTATTGCCTTGAAGACGAACACCGCCTTCTGGCGTATGAATTTATGCCTCGAGGCAGCCTGGAGAATCATTTATTCAGGAGTGAGTTCTTCATGCCTTACCACTTTTTCAATTGGTTTAACTAGAGGGTCGTGTTTACCATTCATAATACTGTCGTAACAGGGGGCTCTTACTTTCAACCTCTCTCTTGGAGCCTCCGTTTGAAGGTCGCTCTAGGTGCTGCTAGAGGGCTTGCATTCCTTCACGGTGCTGAAACAAAAGTGATATATAGGGACTTCAAGACCTCAAATATCTTGCTTGATTCAGTATGTGCCATTTCAACCATTTCCCTCTCTCAAAGAACTATATTAATGGCGTGTCTGTAAACAAAACCTTCTGTGATTTGGTCACAGAACTACAATCCAAAACTTTCTGATTTTGGGTTGGCCAGGGATGGACCAGCAGGGGACGAAAGTCATGTCTCCACTAGAGTATTAGGAACCTATGGATATACAGCTCCTGAATATGTAGCCACCGGTATTGTTTAGTCATGTTACCGATCAGGTTATGTTAATTCATATCACTCCCGAATATGTTAATTCTTGTTTAGTCATGGCAGGTCACCTGACTTCAAAGAGTGACGTCTATAGTTTTGGAGTAGTGCTGGTGGAAATGTTATCAGGTCGGCGAGCAATGGACAGGAGTCGACCATCAGGACAGCGCAACATGGTGCAGTGGGCTAAGCCATACCTGGCAAACAAACGCAAACTTTTTCGTGTGCTTGATAACCGTCTTGAAGGCCAGTATACAATAGACGAGGCGTACAAGACAGCTACACTGGCATTGCGATGCATTTCAACGGAATCCAAGTTCAGGCCAAGCATGGACGAGATTGTTTCTGAGTTGGAGCAGCTTCAAGTTCCCAGTGGAAATGGAGGCAAACAAAAGCCCGCTGTTAATAAATCCAGTGGTAGAAGAAGTGAAGGCGATGCTAAGAATGGGACGACCCCCACGGTTTATCCCCGTCCCTCTGCGTCCCCACTCTATGCTTGAAACTCGATAAAGCTCAATGCTGCAAATCCATAGCTATCCAGATTGTACACATCTAATATCTTATGTCAGTTAATATGGGTGACATATGTATTCTCTGTTTTGTTTGTAAAGTGCTTGTAGAAAATAGATATAGTTGTGAAAGCAGGATGGGATGCAAGTGGTTTTGCATGACCATAGAGTATAGTTGGCTTTGTTTTTTTATGTTTTGTTTTGTTTTTTGCTTTTTGCTGCCTTTTCCTCCCTGTTGTGGGCAGTGTACTGGAATTTGCTGAATCCGAATTAATATACCATTTTCGTGATAGGTTCCCCTGCAGGATGCATTCATACTTTGAAAAAAGGATGTGTGATTTTTCTATCCCCGTCTTGATGGACAACTTCTGTAGAAGTTTTGTATTTAAAATATAGAGAGAGAGGGAGGAGGGGGGGTGCTTCTTCTATCCTTTTCAGAAACAAGAAATCTTAATTATAGTATTTTAAGACAACAAGAGACGAAATGACATCAAGTGTAGACATGAAATAGATAATTGTGGGGTGCAAATTCCCCAAAACGAGGAATGAATTTATTAGGAAGCATTGGTGGGGACTGGATCTGGACAGGAGGGAGCAGTGGGTAAATAAGGTTATGTGTCAGTCACATTTTTAAGAGTTGATTGAATAAAATGAGTTGAAAAATTTAACATAATTTATTTTCTATTGGGTTAGTTCACAAAAATTTATCAATTTTTTTTAATAATTTAAAATTTATAATATATATATATATATATATATTTTATATTTTAAGATAAATTAACAATTAAAGAACTTGTAAATAAATAAATGAGCATGAAATTCAATCAAACAAGTTCATTTTATAAGAATTTTACTATTAATCATCTTCTCGCCTAAAAGTGTTATCTTTCTTATTAAAAAATAAAATTTAAATATAAATTCATATTATTTTTTTCAATAAATTTATATTTATGATTTCAATAAATAAATCTTATGAGATTAATAAATAATATATTTTTAAAATATTTCTATAAAAGCTAATAAATTATTGATTTACAAATTATAATAAAAATTTTATTTCCAAATTGTAAGAAAGATTTGCATTATCTTTCAAATATAAATAACATATTTGGAAGTCACAAATTATATATTTAAAAAATATTGTCATTATTATAGATTTATAAAAATGATATAATATGATTAAAAATAAAAAAAATTTAAAAAATATACTAGCCCATGAGCCAACCTGTTTTAATCAATTAGTTTGCAGACTGAGTTAGCCCAGCCCATTTTAAAGAACAGGCTAATTTGTTCAACTTGTTAAATTTAGCATGTTAAACAGATTAGTTCGCGAGTTCAACCTATTTTTTTAGCTCTAATGAGGGGTAATATTGAAATCTTGAAAACCAATGAACGATAAGCGATCCCGCTTAAGATTGGACAAGCAGGCAGTAGCCAAACAACGCAAGTCAAGAATGTGATGTTGTCCCATGTTCAATATTATTCCCATCCAGTCGAAGCCACCAAGGCTTTTGTTTGTCATGACTTGTTCTGAAATCAGTTTGAGTGATAGACTTTGTACTCGTGTTTGGTTTATGTTTGAGCTTTTCCTGCTACATAACCAGAACCAGCCGTCCTGAAAACGACTAATAATTGAAACACCTACAGTTTGATCTTCCATTACAGTGTTTTCAATCACCGTACCCCTGATATGTATATCCCTTTCCCATGGAATTAGGTTAATTTGATTTCTCTGTTACTTCCAAGCATCTAATCTCACGCCCACTGAAAAATAAATACACCTTTGCCTTGCCCTTGCTCCTCATTGAAAATGTGATAATCCACAAAATTCTCTACCCAATCCCATTACAATTCCCATTCATTTAACGATATTGTCTCTAGCCTTCAGTAATGGTTTCGGAGCACAGGTAGGCCTTCCCCACTACCCCCAATAACTCATCTGGAGCATTCCATGGTTTCACACCTACCCATGTAGTCTCAAAAGCATAGACTGGGAATCAAGACGGGTCCAATCCTTATAGGCTGACTTTTAAGGGCTAGAGTTCTAAAGTTTAATTATTCAAAAATTGACTCAATTTTAAAGCCCAATTCTTATTTATAAGTCTTAGGGTCGAGCTCTTATGCCCTCTTTTTTAAAAAAATTTAACATTTTAATTTAAACAGAATATTCTAAAATTTAACATAAAATAAATTAAAGTCTCACATAAAATTTAACATAAAATTCAACAAAGATTTAAAATTTTAAATTTAAGATAAATATTAAAATCTTCATTAATATAAATTTAAATCCTCCTCGTCATCATTTACAAATAAAATATTAGATCCTTCATATGTAGGTCCACTTATTGAAGGTGGAGGTAGAGATTTAATGTCAATTATTTCTGCAACTTTTTATTCATTACCTGCAATAAATATTAATCAAATTGTGTCATTATTAGTGAAATATATGTATGTGTGTGTGTGTTTAACTGTTTATATATAACATAATTCAATTTATCAGGGCTTGAAGGGCCGCCCACAATCTTTTTTCACAGAGCTTATTAGGGTCATGCTCTTGAGCTCGATTATGTTAAAAAAATTTAATTTTTAAAATCCAAATTTTTATTTAAATAAGGTCATCAATCTTGACTCTAACCTCGTGTCTGGCCTCGGCTTGTCCAGCCTCTTCTATCCTTCATCTCAGCATTCACGTTGTCACTTGTCAGCCATGTAGGATCCTGACTCAGCATTCGTGACATGTGATTCGGGGGAAGGAGAAAAAAAGTAGCTTGTGATAATTCATGAATTTGTACCTGTCCTTGTCCCTTGAAAATGTTGTGGGTTCTGTTATGAATCATGGTGGATGATAGAATCGGTTTCGGTGCTCAGCACCCAAACACTGCCAGTTTGGTAGTGTTTTTTTTTTCTTTTTTAAACTATAAATTTATTATAATAATAAAAAAATATTATAAAATTATTATTTTAATATTTAATAAACAAATAAATATTAAGATGTTAAAATTAAATATGAACAAATTAACTCATTAAAATATGACTTGAACAGTTCATATGTAAATTTTGATCTAAACAATTCAGAACTGTGTTGAAAATATTAAAATTGAAAATAAAAATATTTTTTTATTTTATTAATTTTGCACAGTTGTTTATCTATATGAGATAATATCATTCAAAGCATACTCAAATATTAAATATAGGTACTTATCTTAATAGGAATTCAAACATTGATTTATTACAGTATAAGAAACTAGCTCATTTTGCTAGATTCAACTCCTATTTTAAATTGTTTAGATCATTTTTTATTTTTTCAGTACAGTTCTCAATGCTCAAACTAAAATTTTTATTCAAACTATTCAGGTTCAATTTTAATATCTTAATGTTTATTAGTTTATTAAATATTAAAATAATAATTTTATAATAATTATTTATTATTATAATAAATTTATGGTTTAAAAAAAAAAACTATCAAACGGTGGTATTTTGGTGTTGAGCACCACGGTGTTCATTCGAGTTCCGTGGATGATAGTGTTGTGGGAGTTAAAATTGAAGAAATGAGGTGTCTGCGCAAGTGGCAGGACTCTTCCACTTCATGATCTCATGTCATAGATTAGTTTATATGAAATGGCATGTAAATTGGTATGTCTTTTTTTAATATGACGTGATAGAGAGTTGAAAAATAACTTCTAATGTGAAGAATAACAAATCCACGCCCAACAAGCAAAAAATTTTATTATAAAAAATAAGAATTATAAGAATTATTTTATTTATGAAAATGAAAACTTAACTATAAATATAATAAAAATATGATAAATTTTAAATCAAGATAATATATAAAAGTAGCCACGAATGATAAAAGAAGATTTGAATCACAATTTCAACAATAAACCTTATTTCTAACTTAAAGATATATAAAAATTTTCATATGACATATAGATATATAGATTTATCATTAATTAAATATCTTGACTTCTTTTAATCACAATTATGGAATGTTTCAATTTCTCGCCTATTGAGTTACTTCAAGATAGTCCATTTGTCCCTCAGTAAGATTCTTATAATTATAAGAATATTGGAATCCACGATTTCATAAGAGATTGAATCAACAACTTTTTCTACCAACTAGAGCAATGACTGATAGTTTGTTTTGGAATTATTAAATTAATAACACGATAACATTTTAATTTCATATGTATTTAATTCCATGTAAATCATCAACATCCAATAGTATTGTTTTTTTTTTTTGGCTTGAATGCATGGACCCATAATTGATTATTATAGAATATCGAAACAAGTTAAATATAAAACACTTTTAATTAAATTACATTCTTAATTAATTAGTTAATTATTTTTAAATAATGCACTTTTTTATATTTATTCTTATTCAATAAAATATTCTAATTAAAAAAATATTATTAATTGTACCTCTATATTAAGGATTTTTTTAAAAAAATCCATTAATTGAATATTAAAAAACCCTAGATGGTCTATATTTTTAAACATCAACCTAAAAAATGTTTTATCTTTTTGAACAGGAAAATCTTTCCATGGTCAATGGCGATGGAGGCAGAGACGAAGAAAACTGCCTAAAGAAGCAAAAAGCGTGAAGGACACGCAACCACGTGAAACTAGAGAACATCCCTCTCGGCCCTCGCACTCAGCGCCCCTGGCTATGGGTATCTCCACTCTCGAGCCTAGTTTACGTCCTTATGATGATCAACGCTCTTGCCGGTTCAGATTCAAAAATTTTATTTTATATTTATGAAAATAAAAGTTATATCTCCCTCATTTTTTTATAAATTATTTCTATCAATATGATCAATATTAATATAAAAAAATAAAAAAATATAAAATTTTAAATATATTTTTATATAATAAATTTAAAAAATAATATTATATTATTTTTTTTCTTTCATTAAGGATAATTCTAAAAATATATTTTAAATATTAACTTATAAATAAAATTAAATAAATATTTTAAAATGTGTCTTATAAATAGGACTTAAGCAAATGAATATTAATAAATATATTTTATTATTAATCTAAACATTAGATATATGCATACAATTTAAATAATTTAATTTAATATTAAATATTTTTATAAATTAAATATTCAGATATATTCAGGTCAATTTAAATTTAAAATTTTTAAATTTCAATTTTTTTTAAATTTTAGTTTGAATGTTATCGTTATTTTTATTTTTTGATATTATATTTATTATAATAAAAATCTATAAAAAATTAATATTAAATCCAGATTGTCTAGAATTCATCTAGACATTCAACTTATAAAAATTA